AATTTCAGAGAAAACTAGTGGCACCATCGTGTTTCTCGCAAACTTTTACATAAGAATCAGTAGGCAAATTCCTCACATATCGACGGTGAAAGTACCAAACCACGTATCTCGGTTTGCGACGTCGCAGACTTCCTGTCATACTTTATTTTTTAAATGAAAAACTACTTAACGTCCAGTCTTGAAAATTTCTGTGATTTTTCCTCTTTATGCGAAGAAAATTCTGTGAAAATTTCAAGGAATGATATTGATTTGGTCTGTATCAAAAAAATAAAATGTGAGCGTAGATTTTTAAACACCGCAAACGAGATACGTGGTTTGGTAGTTTCACCGTCGATATGCAACATCTCCATTTTGATGCAAGCAGTATTTTCTTAGGGGCCGGCAATCAGGTCCGCCCAGAGAGAGACACAATCAAAGTTAACCTAAAGAATAAGCAAAATAATAAACAAAAAAGTTTTGTGGCGATCAGGCGTCGTAAAGCGCCAAAGAGCGCTATAAAAGCGACTCATATAAATATATATATAAACAAAAAATTTGACACACTGTTACAGACTTTCATTATGTGAGGTTTCAATAAATTTGCAACGCTTGTTTTTGCATAACAGACCAATAAGGAGGAAACAAACGCTTGAAAACATACATGAGAAACAGTATTTGGCATTGACTAGTGTATTTTCCGAAGGAAATACACTATAGTCAATGTGTATTTTCCGAAAGAAATACACTACTTTACAGTTAGCACGTCTCTCTCAAAGCAAACCTATTCTCCGGAAATGAAGAGCAAAAACCTTTTGTGAACACGCGAAATTCGAAAAAGCCATTTACAAACTATGCAAAATCGCAAAGAGAGTAAAGGTCGGACTTTTTTAATGAACCCATCGGGATTTTTTTGTGATTTTAGGCCTACCCGCCTGATTGCGTCTATTGCGTGCAACAGTACTGCAACAGGCCCATAACGGCAACTCAAACCTTCAAATGACTCTCTCTCGAATTTGCGAATGTTTTTGAGGTGGAAATGTCAAAACTTTTACCGTTGCTGAAGTTATCAGTTCCTGTCGTTTTATAAGGTCATAACGCAGGTTAATCATCAAATACCAATTTTTTATTCATCTTCCAGAGCTGCTGAGCTCAAAATTTCCAGTAGTACGTATTGCTGGTCTCCCATTAGAGCAGCGAACGTATCGAGCATGAGAAAAAATCGCACTTTGAATATTTCGCACAAGCAAATCATGTTCGATCACGAAAAATTACTTCATTTCAGACGTGTTGAGGGTGATCGCGTGAGATTTTGCTGAATTGAATAAAAAAAAGTCGAGTGCCCCCATTAAGTGAAGACCAGTGGCGTGGCGTGCATTGCGATATATCGAATGATCTGCCATTTAAACCTATGGTGAAGAATCGATTATTAGGGTGTTCGCTGCAAACACCCTATTTATCGATCCTTTTCCATAGACCAATTTAGTGTGACGTCACATCTCGATTTAATTTCGATATCTCGAAAGTCGAAACGTGTCCCAACAAACGAACATATAGGAATCTGCGGGATTTAGGCAGGGGGGTAGGAGGATTCGCTTTATGACTGTCACTGATATTACGAGCTTATTATACAATCAATTCTTGTGATTGTGATCTCGAACGTTTTTGTAAATGGCTAGCTTTCATAATTTTAAAGTCCCATGGAGCAATTTTTTAGTTTCAGGCAGTTTTAGCATTATTTCGTCAATTGTTCATTTTGGAGGTTATGTTTGTTTGTTGGGGCACATTTCGACTTTCGAGATATCGAACCAACAATATCGCTCCGTGACGTCACCACTAAATTGGTCTATAGGTTTAAATGGCAGATCATTCGATACATCGCAAAGCACGCCACGCCACTGAAGTGAAGGCGTGACTGAAAAATGCTATGTCATGAGTGAAGTGCGGAGAAATCACTTTTACATCCAACAATGATGAGGGTGGTTTCACGATAACTGGAATAGTTTTGTCGCTATGACAGACAACACATTTTTCGGTCATATTTTTAGTAGTAATGAAAAACACCCGATTTTTTTTTGCATTAATCGATACAGGGTTACGTGTTACAACGCTTTTCAAAGATTTATCGCTCTTCTTTTCAATTTTAATCTATAAATGGCCGAAAATGTGCTGTCTGTTACGCTGACTTTTTACCGCGTAACAGACAGCACATTTTCGGAATTTACATAATATTAATTGTGCAGTAGAGCAATAAATCATTAGGAAAAGTTATAATACGTAACCCTCTCAAGATTAATGCAAAAAAATTCGAGTGATTAACATTACTACTAAAAATATGACCGAAAAATGTGTTGTCTGTTACGGCGACAAAACTATTCCTGCACTGAAAAAAAAGTATGGTGACATTTACTATGAGTCTACTTGATTTTTTACACAGTGATACTATTTAGTGGAAATAACCAGAATTATAGTAGTATTCGCCAGAACTCTGGTGATTCTTACCATAGTATGGTAAATGCCACCATAGAGTCTGGTGTTTATTACCATATTCGTATCACTGTGTCAGAGATGGTAAAATCTACCGGCATATTTTTTTCAGTGATGCGGTCCGATTATTGAAACTATGTCAGCCCGACACTACAAGACATAGCCCTATCTCAACCATGCAATATATCGCAATTCTATGTCTTATCGGGTTGGTTTAAATTTCAATAATCGGCCCGCAGTTACCGTGACACCAACCATGAGTTTGTATAGCTGTTATAAGTATTCAGGAGTTCTACGCTCTTCTTGCGCTGCTCACATTGACGCATGAGATTCGCTATTGAGATCCCCCCCCCTCCTCCAAAGCCTAAGCAACAGGGAGGCAAAACAGGTCGCGATAAATGTAAAAAAATTACGTAAAAAAACAGAGAGGAAAGAACTGTCAACTGTGAAACTATACTTACATAATTTTTTAGTGAATTCGCATTCCCCTGTGTTTTAAAATGTTCCATGTTGAAATATAAAAAAAACTCCAGAATTTTGCGTTGAAGCTTCTCTGACTTTTCGCAATGTATTTTGCTCCAGAGCTTTTGTTTTTTGCTTCCATTTTTTGTGGAGAGATCGGGTCCGTAATGATAGAGTGCGTCAGATAATGGAAGTCAAAAATGACATCGTGTTCGACGTCATGACCAAACAACTTGTTTGGTATGGTCATGTCAATAGGATGACGGAAGAGAGGCTGCCAAAAAAGATGCTTGATTGGGTTCCTCCTGGGAGGAGACGTAGGGGACGCCCAATGAGAGGTTGGCGACAGGGGGTGTTAAATGAGATGAGAGATGTCAACTCCCTGATGACCTGTGGGAAGACCGAGCTTTGTGGCGATTAGGCGTCGTAAAGCGCCAAAGAGCGCTGTAAAAGCGACTCATATATATATCCAGCAAAATTTTGTTACAGACTCACTGTATTCGCTCATATTTCGTCAACGATTTTTTGTCCGCGCATCTGTTTTTTCCAGTAATTTACGTCCATGCATTTTTTCGGCACAAGAGTTTTGGTCCACGTGCCAGTTGAGACCCAAAGTTAATTGGTCCACATGTAAATACAAACAACAATTGCTCACGACGTTTTTGGATGAAAATATATGATGTCTTGGAAGAATAAGGGTTTTTTTTTGTTTTGTCTGTTTGGTCAAACGGAGAATAATATACAGTTGAGAGTTTTGGTAAAAATGGGGGAGCGTCAATTCCATGAGACAAAATTCACTAAAACTCTCTACACCTCTTTGGTGTAACAGGACTTAATTATCTGTCAAGTAAGTCCCACATTGTTATACCTGAACCAGCTAAACCTCTATATTTGCCTCAGCTAAAGGCTCTAAGATTTTTCCTGTGTACGATAAGTATCTTGATTTATTTTGCGAGGAAAGATCTGTACTTTTGAAGGATGCCTGTCATTCTTAATACGTTAAATTTCGTATAATACTGCGTGCAACACCTCTGTTGTGAAATAGTTGCTTCAGGCGCCGCCGCACGGCGGGCGGGCGGTCAGCGCGAAACGCGCATTGGCGCCTACAAACCTAAGTGGATACTTCAAGCATTGTGCAATGCGTGAAGTATCCACTTAGGTTTGCAGGCGCCAGTGAGCCTCTGGCGCTGGCAGCACGCCGCCGCTCCGCTCTGTCAGGCTTTAATATTTAGCGTTTTATAACTCATGATTTTGAAATGTTAGCACACTCTGCATTGATTATTCTCATTTAAATTGATGGGAAAAAATATGTATCAATTTATCAAAGGAGAATAATGATATAATGTGTGTTTTTTTAAGTCTTGGTGGTTCCATGTCAAATTTAATGATTTCCGAGGCACTTTAATTTTTTCTTTTACATTTTGTGCTTTTATTGTGCTGCAGCGAGGTGTAAGCGCAACGAAACGCTCAAAGTTTGACGTATTTGACTCTAAAAGATCGATGTACAAATGAGTTAAAACTAAAGATTGTGTGCTTCTTGGTTTTTTTTCCTCTTTCATTCATTTTTGTAGTTACTGTCGGCACAACTGCGGCTCATTGAGATTAATGTCGCTTGGAAATTTTTTTACAAATATTTGTCACGTCTTAAAAGTATAAATGTTTTCAAAATGAAGTAATAATTTCGTAAAGAAAAAAGATAAAAAAATATAAAAGAAGTACCTTTACATATATAAAGTATATTGTACATTCAATATTTTAAGGATAGAAATAAAACCAAATATTTACCAATGGCAATTTAAAAAGATGATTCAAAGGGAGAAAGTAATAACATTTCATTTAGAAAATGAGCAACCATAACAACACCTCCTTCTCTCTCAATTTCTCATTTCCATATTGTCAATGTAATGTTACATACCGACTATAATAGAACGCTTAGACAAAGTCACTATTGCTTATTTTACGAGTGGGCGGAGACTACTGGACAAAAAAGGTGCGCGGACAAAAAATCGTAGACAAAATGTCCTGAAACCGCTTTACTTATCTCGTTTAAAGGTCTCGCAATAATCAGGCCCAACATGCTATGTACCAAAGATGACGCAACCGGTTTGGATAGTTGCGATTTCCTCTGCATTTCCACGTGGGGCAAAGTCCCTTTGCTCAACGTCCCTTGGGCCCACGGGAGGTGCGAGAAGAATGTTTGCGTCTGCAGTTTAAACGAAGTGGATCTCCGTCAATTTATGCCATGCCACTGGATGTCATCTGTGGTCTCCCTTGAAACGAATAAGCGGATGGCCGAAAAGCAATATCAGGTAGGCAAGAGTGCATGAATACTGCAATGGACCACTAGACAAAGTACGAATTTCAGCATTCTGCTTTATGTTTCTTGACCAAAATTTCACGTAAAACACGATGCGCACAACAAAAATTACGAAAATCAGCTCCTTCCGAAGATAATTAATGATTCTTGATGCGTGAATTCAAACCATCCGCTCATGGGAACTCAATGCTCCGCATGATTCACATCGCGCGCTAAACGTTATCATGACAGTCTCTCCGATAAAAAAATCTGGCAACCTCGATCTTGACGCTTTGGCTCAGCTATAGCAAATTGCTTATAGTTTGAACAACACATGGTGGGAAATGAACATTGCTCGATTGAGAAGCTTGCTGAAACCATTGTTGTGCGCGATTTGACTCACGTAGAACTTTGAGTCTCTTGTGAGCGGGCAGTTCAAATTCCTCGTAACCAATGTGTAATAAAAACGTTAATATCTTCGTTAAGAGCTGGTTTCAGTAATTTTCGTTATGTGAATCGTGTTTTACGTGAAATTCTGGTTCAGAAACATGTATCAGATTGCTTAAATTCGTATCTTGTCTAGTGGTCCATTTTTAGGTAGATAAGATCAGAGCCTTATCTGCGATGAAAGGAAGCGGAGGGTACGGTCTGTAACGGGGAAATTTTTCCCCCGTTTTAAGTTAAGCTCATGTGAATTAAAAAAAATTGAAACAATAAAGTCGCGAACGCGCATGCTTGGCACCGCCGCGTCTGCGCCGACGAACCAAGGAAGAAATCAGCTGACGCTCGGCGTCCATCCGAGCACCGCGACCGCGCCAATAGGGAGCGCTGCGGCAATTCTGTCAATTTTGAAATATTTTTCATTAATTTAAAATTTTAAAAAAAATTGTATTTTAATTTTAACTCTACAGATCGATAAAAGAAGTCGAGGCAAAGCCAACGATGTAAATTTTATATTTTTTTTTCATATATTGTATGCTCACAAAATGGAACGGAACTCGAACACTTGCTTTTTTTGAAATTTGTAAATTGGTGGCCTCCCGACCAGACCCATCAATCGGGGGGGGACGTTCCGATCCAGCAGACTGTTAAAGCGAGTTATCTAGTACGTCGATCGAGGTGCGGCGAGGTGAGCCTGCATTTCTCTTCTTACTTTGCGATCCTGGCTTGTTATGCCTGCGGTTGGAGCAAATAGGCGGTACGGTGGATAAAGCTTTACCGAAGATTTGCTCCAGCTTTGGACCTCCTGGGGTTTCGGTTGCGTGGGACGTGGTGCCCGAGCTGAGGTGCATTACCCCTGCAAACGTGATCCAAGAGTAGCGGCCTTTCCTCGGTGGAAAGCGCGGAGCGAGGTGCGCGAGTTGAGCTGCATCTCTCTGCGAGTTTTACTGAGAAAAGTTGTAGAATTTAGATTTGGTTGGTCTTAGAGATGTATTTTAATTTACCTTCCGAACCATTTTCCCTCGAGTTTCGATCAGAATATCCGTAGAATTTTAAGAATGAATTATATGTATACGTGGAAATTATTGATAAATCTCAATTTAAATAAATACTTGTAAGTTGGAAAACACGCTTTCAACCTTTGACGTAAGTAGTGAAGTAGTGGTGCGCGAGCTGAGCAGCATCAGACGGAGCTCTGCTAAATTCCCTCTCCAGTTAAAATTTTCTCTCTCTCAATTTCGATTTCACTTATTATTATTTTTTTTTATGGCGCCCGAATCCAGGCATCCCACTGAAGTTATCCGGCACCTCAAGTAACGTTGGCATATCTTATACCAGAGGACGTATGTGCCTCTGATGTCCTGGACCTGCTTCGCAGTGAAGGGGGATTTGCCTCGTTACACGGTCCCCCTGGCAGTGGCGTGGCGTGAATTGCGATAAATCGATTTTTATGCCATTAAAACCTATGTAAAAAGATCGATAAGCAGGGTGTTCGCAGCTTGCAGTGTCGGAACCTCCTCGCGGTTGCAAGCGGAAATCCGTGTCGGACGACTGTGCCGTGGGCCGGCCAGTCCTCTCCGCGCGGGGCTAACTCCGACGTCTGACTCGTTGGACCCGCCACCCAGGGCGGTAGACGGGCGGACAGGGCAGCATCCCCTCGTGTCTCCGGGCCGGCAGAAGGTCCGCCCATTATCACACCGACCGATGCCCTCGGCGAGCGACGGCGGCCTGTCTCCCACCTCCTTTAGGGGGCGTAGGGGCGAACTACCATTGGCGGAGACGAGCGAGGGACTCGCCTCACTCGCCGAGGCGCCTCGCGGGCCTAAGGGGATTTCTTCGGTATACCGCCCGCGGGGGTCAGCCTCTGAACTTGGCCTCCGATGCGGGGGGTGGCCTGGGCTCGGGTCACCGAGGTCCCATCCAGGTCGCTGCGTTGCCAGACCGCCTGACTACCCGAGCTGCGGGCAGAAGGCCGAACGGCGGACCCCTTTAGCCGTGAGGCCTGGTCCTGCGCAACAACCGTGCGCGGCGTGCCGCGTACGACAGTCCAACGGCTCGCTCTGGGCCGATAGGCCGGGAGGGAGTCGCCTTGGGCCGATAGGCCCGAATAGGGAGTACACTAACGGGGGTCCCTGTCTCTGGCCTGTCGTGTGGTCGGGAGGCGGGGGCCGCAGCTCGTAGTGCGCCTACCGGGGGCCGAGCTGGGACCACTTGGTGGGACGGACCAACCAGCGACCCGCCTCACCCGGCCGACGGCGTCAACCGCCGGCCGGGCCTGGGTTCTGCCCGCAGGAGTCCCGAGCTCCGAGGCGGGATCGCACAGGTAGCCCGTATCTCAACCAGCTTCCGGACACGCGCCTCACGACGCGCGTGCTTTCTGACTACGAGCGCTTGGCGGCGGGCGGTACCGGTGACGCGGGCCGCTGTCTTGCCGGGGCAAAATGACTCGGGAACAAGGGAAACCGCAAGTATCGAAGCGGGCCGACCAGCACCGGCCTGCTCATAGAGTCCCGAGTCCGACACAAGGAGCGAGCCTGTCGGCGGGCGGAACACGCCTTGCGGCTCATCGCTGACGAGCCGGCCCTCTTAGCCCGGGGCCCTACCGCGCACGACTTGTCCAAACCCCACTTTAACTCGGCCCCGGGCTCGGACTCGTCGCCGAGGGGTTTCAGGTGCTGCTCGCCGTCCGGTTGACGCCGTCACACTCCTTGTAGCCGCCGGGCAGGTCCCTGGTCTGTGCGCCAGGTGTAGCTGCGGTGGGCGGTTTGGCGACGTCGCACAAGCCCTCGGGTCCGGGGGTAGTCGTCTTAGGGATTTCCAGATACGGGTCTACGTGGCTTCGTCGGAAAGGACTACCCCCTGTGGTAGGAAGGACTCCGGTCCGGTACACCAATACCACGCCCACTCACTTTGAGGGGTGTTCGCAGCGAACACCTTAATAATCGATTCTTTACCATAGGTTTAAATGTCATAACAATCGATACATCGCAATTCACGCCACGCCACTGCCCCCTGACCATTTTTCTTACCACCCTACTGGCGTCACTGAGCTATAGCAAAGGAGCCTATTTTCTTCACACTTACCACATACAACTTAAAACATTTAAAAAACAAGCGGGAAAGTTCAAATACAGTCGTATTAGAAAAGCGCTCAGGTGTTAGTCAATGTATTTAGTGATGAAAGGAAGTATAAACTCCGTCGACTTGGCTGGAAAATGGAAATAAAACATCAGCAGATAGCAAACAAAGGTTACCAAGGAAACCGTAAACGCGTATTTTTGTTTCCCGAAAATGAGCTCGCCGTTGAGCTCATAATGTTGGCGCCGCTAGCGTCACCAATATTTAGCCTTCATTCCGTCAGCTAGGCAAGCCACCCGCATCTCATGTCGCGCCGCGCGCCTAGTTCCGCCGCGGCCCGCCCGATCGCGCTGCGGGCTCTTTTTTCGCCCCTCCGGCTTTCCTTTAAATATTTAAATTCTTTTCTTTATTATTTTGTCTGTTTCAATATATAAAATTCATCTTTGATTACTTTTCTCCATAAATCCTCAATTATAATACTCACTGGTGCCTTCATTCACAACTTTTTTCAACTTAAACTACGCGTCCGCGCAATTCCTTTTCAAATCCAGTTTGACCGGTTGGCCCGTGTGCCGTATATAAATTATGCATCACCTACCACTCTATGGTAGCGTCAATGGGTATGTTCATTCGCCCCGCTTATGTCTTTCATGCGCAGTAACCTTCCTTCTGAAACAGTTACGTCTTTTCATTCAAGCAAGTGAGTATGTATTCTAGATTCTCCTTCTTTTCTCTGTTATCTTCATTAATAATAAATTCATGTCAAATTCCGACCTTCTGGCTTCTGCCAATAAGTAATTCCTTTCGGTCTCTAAATTCATTCGCGTGTCTCGTGCCCGGACACGGTTGCCTGCGGTCCGAGTGCCGCGGATGAATTCTTCAAAATCTCAATAAAGTAAATGTTCGTCTCTCTCTTTAATTAGCTTTCATCGCGCTACTCGTGACCGGTCACGATTGCCTACGGTCCGGGTGCCGTGGACGACCCTTTCGGCTAATCTTTTTAGAAGACCTTCATTAAACTTTCACATAAGGCGCGTTTTTTTTTAGGCTTCATTTGAGTTCAACGATCAATTTCGATAAGAATTACTCTACCGCTAAGAAATTTTCTTATAGACAAACGATCGAAACTACCTGCGCATTACGTTAAAAGCATAAAATACAGTTTTCACAGCTTTATTTATTTTAAAAATGGACCCCCCCCCCAAAAAGCCTACACATCGATGAGCTGGTGCGCCATTTAAACGCATTAGCACTAGTATACTAGTGCTCAGAGGCAAGTCGAAATCAAAAAGCGCTGCCTATTGGCTGAGCGCTTAAAATTTAATGTTAGGCCTGAAGATGTCCCCTATGCTCATGTGATAGCGAAGAGAGCAGTAAGTGTTAAATTTTCCCTCAAAATGCGTCCTCCCTCTTTCAGGCGAAATCACTGAAATCACTAAGACAGCAAAATTCATCTTAATTGTCGTCAAAATAAAATGTCTCATCCTGTTCAAATAACACGATTGAGACACGCATTACCGTGCTGAAACCATCTTTACCCTCTTGTTTTTTGTGTGTCCAGGCTAAAGTATCGAAGCTAAGTAAGGCCCAAAAATTTGAAATGTTCATCAAGGCGTATAAGAAACAATATGGAACGAGTGGAGAGAAGAAAAAGCGATTCAAAATATTCAGTGCTAACCTGGTCAAGATCGACAAATTAATGTATAAAAGGAAAGATGACGTCATTTTCGGCATTGGCCCATTCACGGATCTCACTCGTAAGTATACAATTGAGCATGTTTATGCTAAAATTCTCTATGTTACGCACAAACCCTATGAACATAGTTCCTTTTAGCATAAATACGTCCAATTGTTTTGTAATGCGCCCCAAAGTATATAGACTCTAAATTCTTATTTTCCGGAACTTCGAGAAAGTGTCGAAAATTCTTTGAAATAGAGATGGATTTTATTTTTTAGGATCACCTGAAAACTTTCTCCTTTTTTCCAATCAAATTCATCGCAACTGTTTCAGCGATTTCACACTATCATTCTGAAAATCGATACCCAAAGTACAAAACCATGTTTCTCTATTGTGGTGTTTCAAAATTCTTGCGCTCCTTTTTTAGTTTTTCGAAGAGAATATTGCCAACTTTATAGTTTAAAATGTTCACAGAATATTCTACTAACAGAGAGGAAAAATCAAGGAACTTTACAAGAAATTATGCTGACTAGTTTACCGAAGAAACAGTATAGTATGACTGGAAGTCTGCAAAGTCGCAAACGGAGTTACGTGGTTTCGCACTTTGGCCATCAAAATATTGATACAATATTGCGACTGGGTGCAAAAGTAAACATCGACTGTGAAACTACAAGCACACGTTTCTCAGTTTGCGACGTTGCAGACTTCCTGGCATACTTTATTTTATATGAGGAAAATTATTCAACGTCAATAGAGATGTTGGATGAGTAAGGAATTTGCAATTTGACTGTTGAAAACTTCGCGAGAAACACGATGGAGTCACTGGTTTTCTCTGAAATCAACTCCCAAACTCACAAAAAGCTCTCAAGTTGAGGCCAAAATGGAGGGGATATCCCACGCTATCCTGAGAGTCCACCTCTACATCAAAACAAACTCTCCATGCAAAGGCAGGGAGCAAATACATAAGCAGTGATGCCGTGTTTTCAGTTTTAGAGTCCCCAAATAAAGTGGCAGCCCTGTCAATGTATTTGCTCCCTATCTTTGCACGGAGAGTTTGTCTTGATGTAGAGGTGGACTCTCGGGATAGCGTGGGACATCCCCTCCATTTTGGCCTCAACTTGAGAGCTTTTTTTGAGCTTGGGAGTTGATTTCAGAGAAAACCAGTGGCACCATCGTGTTTCTCGCGAAGTTTTACATAAGATTTAATAGTCAAATCGCAAATTCCTCACAAACGCAACATCTCCATTCTTGAAAACATCAGTGATTTTTATTTTCTATGCAAAGAAAACTTGGTAAAAACTTCATGGAATGATATTTATTTGTTTCCCTTTAAAAATAAAGTACACGAAAAATTGAATGCTGCTTCAGCATTTATAATGTTAAAAAAATGTGCGACAAGTATACATACTGGTTTTACAATAAAAAGAATGTTAGGTTAACTGCGCCCACTTAAACAAATTTAATGTAGAGTTACCTAACATTGGTTTTATTTGAATTCGACATTCGATACTTTCCGCACAATTTTTTAACAGTATAGATGCTAAATCAACATTCAATTCTTTTCCGTGCAGAAAGAGAGAGAGAGAGATTTCTAAGCACCGCATACGAGATACATGGTCTGGTAGTTTCATACCGTCGATATGACGTTCATTCTACCTCCGCAGGTGAGGAATTCGTTCAAAGTTACATCGGGAAACTCAAACCGGAATCAAACTCAAAATCAAAATCCACCCAGTCGTCTAGTCGTGGACGCAAAAGCAAAACCAAAGAGGCTCCCTCACTCCATCCAAGAATGCTCCGACGAAAATCACGCTCTAATTCTGACAAGAAGGAAGAGCGGAGACGAGCATCAAGATCACCAAGAGCACCACCAAGAACATCACAAAGAACACCGATACAAACACCGAGAGTATCGCCACCGAGAACATCACAGGTATCATTGCCACCGAGAACATCACAGATACCATTGCCACCGAGAACATCACAGATATCATCGGCACAGAGAACATCACTGATATCATCGCAAGCGAGAACATCATCAACATCATCGGTACCGAGAAGGCAGGGGTCAAGGCGACGTGATCCGTTTGTCCGGATGGACGGTGAGGGCACCAGCCGGGGTAACCAAGATCCAGGACCGAGGTATATCATTGGTGCCGAGCCTCAGGGCGTCCCGTTGATCGATTGGCGAATACCCGCTTATAAGTATCCGGCCGCGGAGAATCAGGTACGGCTACGATGTAAGATGAACTTTTGCAGGATGCTTTTATTTGTCGCAGGAAAACAGTAAAATCAGGAATTTGGTCAAATGCCTAGGCAAATGTTCATATGTTCTTACTTAGGTTAGAATTCTGACACATACATAAAAGTCGCTTTCAAAGCGCTCCCTGGCGTCTTACGACGCGACGACGTCTAGCTGCCACACTACACTGGAAAAAAAACACATTGGATCTAGAGGCCAAACTCTTAAAAACATCAACAAGAACAAGTACTCTTGATTCAATCAGAACCTAGCTCAAATCAAGAACCAAGCCTCTTAATTTAAGCGGATTTCGTTTTGATTCAGGCAAAAATCCGATTGAATCAAGGGTATTTTTTCTTGTCAATGTTTTCAAGAGTCTGGACTCTTGATCCAATGTGTTTTTTTCCAGTGTACCCGACCCTCCCACAACCCTTCAGGGAGTTCGGACTCCCTCATTTGGACGTATTTGTTAAAGAAAGACGCACGGATGGGGAAGAAGAAGAGTGCTCGTTAGTTGAGGGCCGTAAGAGTGAGTGAGAGTTGTAAAGGATTATTTTCCTAAATTTAGGCAGAATAATTGAACGTATTTATGCCAAAAGGAACTATGTCTCACGCAATCCCTATGCTCATAGTTCCTTTTAGCATAAATACGTCCAATTCATTGCTCCTGAGAGGAAGAACTCTCTATAAAATATGCATCTTACAATAATATTGCATTTATCTTGAAATTATCACCATGTTGTAAAATACAAAAGTTTTAAACTTTTCACATTTAACTATACGAGAAGCATTTGAAGAGGAAAAGAGAAGGAGAGTTCGTAGATTAGATGAACTCTTACATTTAAAACATTGAACACTGGGAGTTCTTCGCCTAAAATTTACAAAATTTTGATGACCGTCAAAATTTGACTATCTGCCTGGGCATATGGCAAAATGCCTGATTCAACCAATTGTCTGCGACGTATTACTTGGTAAGGAAAGTAACAGGCATTAATTTAGAGGGAGAAAGAATCGAAATGCATGGGCGCATTGAATGCAAAATGCATGGAAGCATGGTTGTCGATTCGTGGAGCTGAGACTCGGAAGGAGAGACGGTTAACGCGCGCAAGTTCCGCCTTCAATTTTGAATGATACTATAGATTACACAAGAGTGAAAATCGTACAGCAAGCTAATTCTCGTAAGATAGACGCGCCAGATAGGAAATGTTTCCGTTGCCTCCAGCCTCAAATACGTAGATCCGGGTCTGTAGGTTTATCATTCTTTTTTCTTTTTTTTATCGTGAACTTACGAAGGAACAAATTCACATAGTCATTTGCAGACTGCCTAATTAGTCTTTACACATTTAGTTTTATCATGCAACAAGAAACAAGGCTCGTCGTTCTAATGATCAACCCTTGTCATTGTTTCATTTTTTCTCTTGGGCAACGGAATGACGGACAGCATTTATCAGAGGAGATTCGGTGCGGCGCTTGCTGGGCCTTCGCAGCCGTGGGAGCAGTGGAGATCCTTTGGACGGAAGAAGTGGACGGTGTGACTTATCTTTCGAAACAAGGTAATGGACCACTAGACAAGGTACGAATTTAAGCAATCTGATACATGTTTCTTAACCAGAATTTCACGTAGAACACGATTCACACTATAAAAATTACCGAAATCAACTTCTAACTAAGATATTAACGTTTTTATTTCGCACTGATTACGAGGAATTTGAACTGCCCGCTCACAAGAAACTCAAAGCTCTACGTGAGTCAAATCGCGCACTTCAACGGTTTCAGCAAGCTTCTCAATCGAGCAATGCTCATTTTCCACCATGTGTTGTTCAAACTATTGGTAATTTGCTATAGCTGAGCCAAAGCGTCAAGATTGAAGTTGAAGATGTTTACATCGCAGAGACTGTCATGATAAACATTTAGCGCGCGATGTGAATCACGTAGAGCATTGAGTTTTCATGAGCGGGTGGTTTGAATTCACGCATCAAGAATCATTAAATATCTTCGTCAGGAGTTGATTTTGGTAATTTTCGTTGTGCGTATCGTGTTCTACGTGAAATTTTGATTGAGAAACATGTATCAGAATGCTGAAATTCGTACCTTGTCTAGTGGTCCATTCCGGAAACTTCCACAGCACGTTATCAGCGTTTTCGGATCCCATTTTTCCACTCTCTCCATCTACCATTGGTTAGGAAGTATTAAATAGGGGCATTTTCTGGACGACTCATAAAACTATCAAATCTATTCTAGAGTACCTGTATACGGGATAGTATTGCCAGGGTGGCATGGAACCTAAGAAACTAATGAAAAATTGGAAATTTCAGTGAAATATTTCTTGAAATTCCACGAGGCTGTGAAATATTTCATATTTTTCAAGGGCTACAGTATGCAACCCGCACTCAAACACGCAAAAATAGAAGAAAATCACAATTTCACATTCTGCAAAACACGAAAAGGAACCGGTATTTTTCAATATTTCTCATAAATTTCTGAAATTCCATGAGATATTTCGCGTGAAATTTCAAGATTTTATTTTTCATGCAATTGTGCCACCCTGAGTATTGCCATCTCAGTCCTTTTACTACAAAAAAGTGTGTCGCTCTGTGATAGGTCGGCTATCATGGAGACCCAAAGCTGGACCAATGTAAACAAACCCCAGCCCCTTTCGCTCCTAGTTTGGCCCAATGTGAACAAACAAGATGGCGACAAAGTTCTACAAAATTCTAGACGTGATTTTGGATGTGATGGAAATTTCTTTATGATCAACTGCTGAGCTGAGTTCGGATCGACCTTTAATGGATATTTTTGCCAAAAATTAGCCTTTGAGTGTGATTATCATTCATTTCTCGGCCGATAATATGTATTCCTATGGGACGGGTTTGTATACATCATAGAGTACATAGAGTCGTAATGTAATTTGGAGAGCTGGCGCCACTTTTAAGCATTTTCCATGTCCCGAATTCCGAGACTCCTGTGTGACGCCGGGTCACTTTTTCGATACATAATCGATTGTTTGCGATACACGGGTACCCGGCCATCCGATGACAACAACAACAACAACAAAGGAGATAGGAATTACCACGTATTCCACACCGCCATTTTAAATCGAAAATGTATCGAAAAAGCGATCCGAACTCGGCGCACACCGGGCTCGGAATTCGTCGAGCAGAACATGGCGCCAGCTCTCCCATTTACATTACGACTCTATGTACTCTATGGTATACATTGGTCCAACTTTGGAGCTCCATGATAACCCAAAACTGATGAACCAATCAGAGAGCGGCACAGAGATGGCAATACTATCCCGTACACAGGTACTCTAATTTAATGAGAGCTCATTAATTTGTAACATACTGGTAGTAGCACTTATTTAACTTGATTAGTGAGTATATAATAGCCAACGTGCTAAACAAATGTGCAAGGATTACCATACCTAAAGCTGTTTATTAAATTACAATTTTTGGTCGAAGCTGCTCGGCACGGTTGCCATCGTTCGGACCTTTAGAGGCAGAAAAGTACATTTAATTACATACATTTTTCAATCAATGATAACAATTTTGGTAGGCACTGTGCTGGCTAGGTAGGAATGCCAAATGCCTTTACCAAAATTGTTATTATTAGACTGTTCAGACTGACAGCAACGGTATTGCCCATTTGACGATCGTGATTTTCAATGGGCGAGACGTGAATAATTGATTTTCTATAAATCCCCATTTGTAGCTATGGTAAAGAATCGATTATTAAGGTGTTCGTTGCGAACTCCCTATTTATCAATCCTTATCGATAGCTTTAAATGGGAGATCAGTCGATATATTACAAAGCACGCCACGCCAATGGTGATTGTGAACGAGCTAGAGGAGCGGATAGTCCATTTTTGACGATGCGAGTAATGTTTGCTCTAAATTACCCTAGTGTTACTCACTTTTCAGGTTCTCTATAAATGTAAGCTTCCCTGCATTGTCATTTTTCCTATATTAAATTAATTAAATTTCACTCCCAAAAAATAACTATTTCTTAATTTGGTAACAATTTATTTAAATACTGGTTCTGACTGTCGATAGATTTGATAGACTGCGTGCCGGAAAATGACGGTTGCGAAGGAGGCTGGATGCACCATGCCCTGGAACATATTTCAGTGTTCGGAATCGCACTGGCGGAACATTATCCTTACAAGGCCGTCACTGGTGATTGTAAAGATATTCCCGGATACTTGAGGATCGGTGGCTGGGCCAGGGTTGGGGAGAAGCTTAGCTACTTGAAGAGACAGGAGAAACTTGAGGAAGCTCTTAAGGACAGCCCGCTGCCTACACTCATACATTTCCCGGACGAGTTTCAAGTATGTAGCCTCTTTGATTGGAGAAAGGGTCTGTGGCATGCAAGATATACAGTATAGGGTGCCTCAGGATTAAGTACGAATATTGAAGGGGTCGATTCTGTGGGTCTAGAAAAGACGTTTTTGTGGTATAACTTTTTTTCCGAAAATGCTTTCGCTGATGAGGGCCACGGCCGTCCACAGTTGGAGAAAAAAATCGTCTTTTTGACACTGTGACGATGTTTATTAACTAATATTAAGTGCTATCTTCTGCATGCTTTTGTGGTTGCGTTTTGAACACACACCAAACACATTCTCAAGTTAGACTTTGGTGGGAAAGGGCGGCATTTTACTTAAAAGCACTGTTTTTATTGGTTCTCTGGAGGAATAATGCCTCTTGCGGTTGTTTTGTCTGAGACTGCGTCATTTTTTGCGCACTTACGGCTTCCTCATAAGTCTCGTTTTCATAAAAAAAAGACGAATTTTACTGTTTTAGCTTTTAAGTGCTTTAAAAATAAAAAAAATTAATCCTTGAAAACTTTAGGGGTAACCACCCCTACCCCCTTGTGCCTTCACTAATTACGTTTCGATTCACCTGAGTATACATTCAAATCGTTGAGATTCGACGAATGAGGTGGCTGAGACAATGAGACATATCTCGGCGTGCATTTATTTTACCAAGAGATTGAGGTATACTTTTCCTTTTTTCAGCACTACCTATCGGGAGTATACGACGGGGATGAATGCAAGGGCAATTTGGAGGATCTCGATCACGCCGTTGTCATCGTTGGCCACTACTCAGGTAGACTTACATCTGCTCATTCATCTTTTTCAAATTTTCCTCTTAGGTCCGCTCTCTTGTCTGTGACTCCATCACAACGGATCACTAAAACAAAATGCTCATCAAAACATCTCAAATTAAACTCATTAAGGAGAGAGTAACATTTTTGCTGTGCGCCAATGTACACTGCTCGCTCTGAAACATAAGTCTACTCTAATGAAATCAAGCCCTAAATTGAACCGATTATTTTCCAAATCACTTGGGGGGGGGGGGGGAGTCAGGGGACGTCCGGTGAAAGAGTGGCGACAGGGGGTTTTGGATGAGATGAGGGAGTGCCAACACCCAGATGACTTGTGGGAGGACCGAGTTTTGTGGCGGTTAGGCGTCGTAGAGCACCAGAGAGCGTTGTTAGAGCGCCAGTTATGATAGTATTTTCTAAATCACTTAAGCACCGATGTCTATTTTGATGGTAGAGGAGTTGATTTTTCTTTGTTTTCTCTGGTATAATCAACAATGTCTGGTTTAAAAATAACATTCTAAAAGAACATACATGTTTTGGAATTCGAAGATTGTCAACAAAGCTAATTAAACGGGTTTTCTTGTTTTCATGCATTCGCAATTTTGACGCGTACGTGATTTGGAAAATAATCAGTTCAATTATCCTTTACTGAGAGGCTGCGCACCCTAGCCGCCTTGCGCCCCCCCCCCTCCAGCAGCCTCGCACCTCTTCAGAGCGTGGTTCATTTGTAAAATCATAGAGGAATATAAAGGAAAGGAACCGGTTTGTGGCATGATCAGCGGGACACGCTATATCGTACTCTTATAAGGTGATTCGATGGACACTGTATTTTTGTGTCAGAGCGACATACTATATATCGCATCGATTTATCCATTTCTTTAACTACTTGTCATTTTTCTCGAACGAAATATCGCAATTCTGTTGTCAGAGGACTAAAGAATTCATTTACCAATTTTGACAAACAAATTCAACGGAATAAAGGCGTGGTTTTTTTTTAGAGGAAAAATATCGCATTTGATACTGATATCGAAACTGCACCCGAACGCGAGATTGTCTTTCTGAAAAAAACAACGCCTATAATACGTTGAATTTGTTTGTCAAAGTTGGGAAGTGAATTCTTTAGTCTCCTGACAACAGAATTGCGATCTCAAAATTCGAGAAAATTAACGAGTAGCTGAAAAAATGGAACTAATCTATGCGATACATCGCATGTAATTTTGACACAAAATATGACGTCCATCGAATCACCTTAATAGTAGTAACAAGTTGAAAAACTCAGACTCCGCAAGTTCAACCATTCGCTACAAACACAGTGCGGTCGGCGCGAGAACGCATACTAGCACCTACAAGATTAGGGGAATACTTCACGCATTGCGCGTTTACTACGGTGCGCGCCTGACATGGTTTAACGCCTACGAGACCGGGAGAATACATCTCGCATTGCGCGTTCACTACGGTGCGCGCTTTAATACAACGCACCTTTAGACAACCAACTACTCCCTATCTAACCCGTGTTAAAATTAGTCAACTTTAGGTACACTTATTTCTCTGAATCTGCTGAGTGTCTACTATTCAAATGCATTGGTCATTATGGGAATGTCACTGAGCTTTAGAAACAGGATTCCGAACTTTGGTAAACTTTTCATAAAGTTGAACTGTTTTTAAGAAAAAAACTATTTTTCATGGTCTGAAGAGCCCCTGTTGTGATGGCGCCTGGTGCGATTACACCTCATGTGCCACCCTTAATCCGTCTCTGGCAGTATCAATATTTTAACTTTCAGTTGATCAGCACAAAACTCACTCTTCCCTAAATGCGTATTTACGGCTCCTGTTGGGTTGTCTTAAAAATGTTAACCATTGAGAAAGCTTCCTTCTTTATTTCAGATTCATGGATTCTACGGAACAGTTGCGGTTCTGCTTGGGGTTTGCAGGTAATAAATGTACATCCTTTATTCAGGGTTCCCATGGGAAGCTGTGTTCTTATCAGTAACGATTCTTGCAAGCTGGCAACACTATTTTCTCCATTTAAGTCCATTAAAATATCGGTTCTAGGTGAAGCAAGTTGCCTCACCAAGAATCGATTATTTTACATGCATTAAATCGTAAATGGAAGAAAAACAGTGATGCCAATTACCAAAAATCGCCACTAGTTCATAGTGTCCCAATAAAGTACTGTAATTTGAACTACTATTTATGTTCCCTCCTTGAAAACCACGTTCATGAGAAACATTAGTGACAGTGTTTATATACAGGGTGGCAAAATTGCATGAAAAATACAATCTTGAAATTTCTGAAATATTTCATGAAATTTCAGAAATTTATGAAACATATTGAAATACACCGGTCCCTTTTCATGTTTTGCAAAATGTAAAAATTGTGATTACTTCTATTTTTGCGTGTCTCACTGGAAAAAAGTCGCTTGGATCTAGAGTCCAGACTCTTGAAAACATTGACAAGAAAAAATACTCTTGATTCAATCGGATTTTTGCTTAAATCAAAAGGAAATCCACTTAAATTAAGTGGCTTGGCTCTTGATTTACGCAAAATTCCGATTGAGTCAAGAGTATTTTTACTTGTCGATGTTTTTAAGAGTCTGGACCCTAGATCCAAGCGTTTTTTTCCCCAGTGATTGAGTGCGGGTTGCATACTGTAGCCCCTGAAAAATATGAAATATTTCACAGCCTCATGAAATATTTCACTGAAATTTCTAATCTTCCATTTCTTTCTTGCGTTTCATGTCATCCTGCTCATATGTAGGTAAGATTTCGTTACATTCTTTTCTATGGGCAAACCTGCGATTCCTCTCAACTTAGAAGAAGTGCCGAATTAAGATGTCAATTTGAAATTAGTTAGGCAGACTACGCTAATTGCACGTTACAGTTCATTATTAAACTGTAAAGTATAAGTTTATTTGGAACATTTCGTAGATATTTCACGTTGCTTTCGTGGAATTTCGTGGAACCTTTCAGAAAATAAATTCAGTTGACTGTCCATTGGCTGCAACAGACCCACTCGTAATTCATGATTTTTGTTTTTACAGGGTCACTACCTCGTAAAGAAAGGACGGTGTGGGGTAGGCTTGAGAGCGTTTGAAATAAAAGATCCACTTGAAAGACTGAACTAGTAGGAGTTTGAGCAAACTTGTTGCGGTTGCAACACCATGACATCCCTCACAGTTAACGGATGATAGACGGAGGAAGACGCAGTATACTCTATCCTGCCATGCTAAGGAAAAACGCCGTATGAGCCATCAGATGTTGCCAAATTTCCCTCTAAAAATCTCAATTTTCAGGAAAATTTTTGAATATTTCCCTTCCGATTTTTCGGAGAGTTTCGTTCGTAATTTGATCCAAAAAGCCTGAAATTTTCAAAATAAAATATTCACAAGGTTCTTTAAAAATAAATATTTTCAAAGAGGAAGTTTGGCAACATTCGAATGCTCATACGACGTTTTCACTTAACACGGTAGTATTGAACAAACTCTATTTCCCCCGTGACTCCTACGAGGGACACGTGATCAGTTCTGTCGCGCTAACGAAAAAAGTTTTTAAAAGCATTTAAATGTTGCCCAATTCCCCCGATAAAATATTGATTATTTTGAAAACAAAAACATATACGTTGTCTTTGAAATATTCAATATTTCAGTAAAGTTCTGAAAAAAATGTGAAGAAATTATTTAACTTTCCCAAAAAATTCATGTCTGAATGTTTTTGTGACGTTTTTCCTGTATACCTGAACCGGATAAACCTCTACATTTGCCTCAGCTAAAGGCTCTTAGATTTTTCTTGTGTACGATAAGTATCTTGATTTATTTTGCGAGGAAAGATCTGTACTTTTAAAGGATGCCTGTCATTTTTAATACGTTCAATTTCATATAATACTGTGCAACACCTCTGTTGTGAAATAGTTGCTTCAGGCGCCGCCGCACGGCGGGCGGGCGGCCAGCGCGTAACGCGCATTGGCGCCTACAAACCTAAGTGGATACTTCAAGCCTTGTGCAATACGTGAAGTATCCACTTAGGTTTGTAGGCGCCAGTGAGCCTCTCGCGCTGTAGCTTGCCGCTCCGCTCTGTTAGGCTTTAATATCTATACTCGCAAAGTCAGCGTTTTTTAACTCATGATTTTGAAATGTTTGCACACTCTGCATTGATTATTCTCATTTAAATTGATGGGGAAAAAACATGTATCAATTTGTCAAAGGAGAATAATAATATAATGTGTGTGTTTTAAATATTGGTGGTTCCGTGTCAAATTTAACAATTTCCAAAGCACTCTAGTTTTATCTTTTACATTTTGTGCTTTTATTGTGCTGCAGCGAGGTGTACGCGCAACTAAACGCTCAAAATTTGACGTATTTGTCTCTGCAAGACCGATGTACAAATGGGTTTAAACTAAAGATTGCGTGCGCTTCTTGGTTTTTTTTCCTCCTTTATTCATTTTTGCAGTTTCTGTCGGCACAACTGAGGCTCATTGAGATTAATGCCGCTTGGAAAAGGTTTTACAAATATTTGTCACGTTTTAAAAATATAAATGTTTTCAAAATGAAGTAATAATTTCGTAAAGAAAAAAATAAAAAAAAGTACCTATACATATATAAGGTATATTGTACATTCAATATTTTACGGATAGAAATAAAACCAAATATTCACCAATGACAATTAAAAAAGATTATCGAAAAGGAGCAAGTAATAACATTTCATTTAAAAAATGAGCAACCATAACAACACCTCATTCTCTCTCAATTTCTCATTTTCATATTGTCAATATAATTTTACATACCGACTAAAATGTAACGCTTGGACCAAGTCACTGTTGCTTATTTTACGTGTGGGCGTAAACTACTGGACAAAAAAGGTGCGCGGACAAAAAATCGTTGACAAAATGTCCTGAAACCCCTAATCTACCGAAAACCTGTATCATATTTTCGAGATGTGAATAGAGCGGGCTGCTGAAAGGCTCATCCCCTGTTAATCGTTGCAAACATATTGGAAAGCAGCCCAGCACGAACTGCGACAAAAATTGAGAATTTAAGAGGTCAGAGAGCTTATAGCAATGACACTTAGTGAACAATGTGCGTTGGCATATCCGAACTTGGGCACCCAAACTGCCCAAAGCACAATTTGTACATTTCAAGAAAATTTCCAACGTACAGGCGTGGAGTGGGACTATATGAGGGACCTGAGAGGCCTGCCCCAGTGCCCCCTCCCTATGTCTACACTTGACCCATCTAAAAATTTTAAGAGATTTTTCGGATAAGGTGCATACCATTCTTCCAGAGACGCAAAAAACATGAATGACTTTTTTGAAATTTCCATAAGCAGTTCCAAACTGCCAAGGGTATTTAAAAATAGTTTTTCTTTATTAAGAGAACCAACAACAGCCGAACACTTCCAAACCCCGAAAATCTCTTGGGAAAATCGGCAGCACTGCAATTTTTCGAAAATAATTATGTTCGCAATCAATACCTCCACGCTCGGTCCGCAGGAACCTCTCATTTCTTTTAATTATGTTTTTTTACGTTTATTTTTTTCTTTTAAAGAAAAAAAATTACTATCGTTGGCACCTTACGCAACAAATTTTGATCGTAAATTGGAGTATTGACGACATTCCGACACAGTTTTTAAAAAAACGGATTGCGTGAGTAATTCATTTTTACGCACGGGCCTATATATCGTCGCCCCTCTGACGTAGGTACGTAACTCCATTTTCGTATGAGCCTTATTGTCAATGTAACTCCATACTTACCAGAGCTCACGGGAAAATCGAGTTATACTCCTTTTCAGCGGCAATTTATTGTAGGTCGAATGACGTCACGTAAATCTGGCCCCACGCCTTTTCTACCGAAGAGGCGTGGGGCCGACGGGAAATCATGAATTGATTCGTGGAAGATTCAGAATCCGCGTAATGTGTATCACGTGAATTTGCGTTGCTAGATTTACTTTCTAAAGTTAACGAATCTTCCGAGTTGCACGAGCAGAAACAATGCATTTTAGAGATCCCGCCCTAACAATCCAAGAAGTATAATCGGGTGCGTCAAAAGTTAATTACAAAGTCAACGCTATACACTCCGCCTAATGATGAATGACGAGTTGAGAATGGAGATGTTGCATGTGTGAGGGATTTGCAATTTGACCATTGATTCTTATGTAAAAGTTCGCGAGAAACACGATGGTGCCACTGGTTTTCTCTGAATTCATCTCCCAAGCTCAAATAAAGCTCTGAAAGTGAGGCCAAAATGGAGGGGATATTCCACCCTACCCTGAGAGTCCACCTATACATCAAAACAAACTCTCCACGCAAAGATAGGGAGCAAATACATTAGCAAGGTTGCCGTGTTTTCAGTTTTGGAGTCCCCAAATCAAACGGCAACCCTGCTAATGTATTTGCTCCCTATCTATGCATGGAGAGTTTGTTTTGATGTAGAGGTGGACTCTCAGGGTAGGGTGGGATATCCCCTCCATTTTGGCTTCAACTTGAGAGCTTTTTTTGAGCTTGGGAGATGATTTCAGAGAAAACCAGTGGCACCATCGTGTTTCTCGCGAACTTTTACACAAGAATCAATGGTCAAATCTCAAATCCCTCACACATACAACATCTCCATTAAAACTGATGAAATTTTGCCTAATGAAGACTGGTGAATGTCAGTATGAAGCGAGATTTTTCAAAGTAAGTCGGGATTTATGCTAAACCAATTGCTCCAATCTTTGATAATTCGTCACAATTAGGAGAATTTGTGCGTTGACTTTCGAAAGTAACTATTACAACTCCGCCTAATGATGAATGACAAGTTGAGTATTAAAACTGATGAAATGTGCCTAATGAAGACTGGTGAATGTCAGTATGAAGCGAGATTTTTCAAAATAAGTCAGGATTATGCTGAACCAATTGCTCCAAACCTTGATAATTCGTCACAATTCGGAGAATTTGAGCGTTGACTTTCGAAAGTAACTTTTACAACTTAGGGAAGAAAGCAGTGCGGGGCTCTGAAATATCGTCACATTCCGGTCAAAATACCACAAGCGTAATATGACGTTTCAAAATTTCCGCCGCCATTTAATTTTTTTACAAAGAAACTGATGGTTGAGTCTGTTTGAAAATTTCGCTGAACTTCATCAACAGCACAAAGAAAATTCAGTGAAATTTTTGGACACCTTGGTTGAACAATTTTTCTGTAAATAAATAAAATGGCGGCGAAAATTTTTTTACCTCGCATAGCGCTTGTGATACTCTCGCCAGAAGGTATAACGCTATATTGTCTCGATTCTGGCGGAATCAACTGAACGCACCCAGCCACAGTTTTTTTTTTGATAAAATCATCTTATCTGTTTGATTCAAGAGGACATTTTTTGACAGCAAATCTCAAAAGTAAACTCAAGTCAATTTTTCAGATTGACCATGGACAAGTTTATTTGTTCCATGATAGGCAAGGCGTTTTTTTTTTTTTTTTTGCCCAATCTTTTGCGAAAAACTCTTAGTCCGTGTTGCGGCCCATTTTTATCGATTTTAGAGCAATTTTGAAATTTTTTGAAATCTTCCCAACCAGAAATATTTCCCAATCCTCCCAACATCTTTCGCTGGGACTTTAACAAAAATTTCGCATCTCCAAAGAGCAGGAAATCCCCCTATTTTTCAAAACAGTTACGCAAGCGAGCAATCGACGAGGAAAGTGATTTATAAGAAATGACATAAACGACACGTGTGAAATCATTCCCCGTTCGAAGGCGCGCATACGCTCGCATCGGTTGCGTCAGAGATGTTTTTCAGCCCTGCACTATTCTTCCTCTGATCCGACTGCACCTCACAGCATCATCCGGAGCTATGGTTAATCACGCACTCAATATTTTCAATCCCTCTTGGGATCCTGCACAGGACACCCTCAAAAACATAGACAAGTTTCCGGATAATAGAACCTATCGAGATCCTCATACGCGTATTATAAAATATATACAATTTTGTTGTGACTAGTGACTGTATCGAAACATATTTTACGTGAATTTTGCTGCATCAAAACTGAATTGGTTCGCGTCGCCTTAGAACGCATTGGTAAGTTATATTTGTTTATTTTTCTTATTTTTCTTTTTTTAAATGTCTAAATTTACTCACACGAGCGCTCCTAAAATTGGTAACGCTGTAAGGGGGAGGAAGTATGAGCCTGCGTTACAAGGGAGAGGAGATCAGTGCCACCCTGTTAAAAATGACGAGTAGGCTATTCAGAATTCGCCAACTCACATGAGTAGAACTTCCTATTTATATGTGTAGAAATCCTACTCATATGAGAAAAAATTCTACTCATATCACTATAAAATTCTACCCACAAGAGTAGAAAAGTTCAACTCATATAAATTCAGTTTTTTTTTCATTTTTCAGAAGTGTGTTTCTGACAAGGATAGTGTGTGATTTTGAAAAATAAAAACATTTTGTTCTTATGATTTTTTTGATGTGGTGACTAGATTCTGAGATATCGGACACGGTAGATTGAACACTAAGCTCATGTGAGTTGAAATCTCTAGTCATGTGAGTTGGAATCTCTAGTCATATAAGTTGAGGAAAACTGGATGGAGAAATTCTGCTCATAAAAATTGAAATTCTATTCATCTCTATTCATATGAGTTGAAATTCTATTCATATGAATTGAAATTATATTCATATGACTTTGATTTTCTACTCATTTGTGCGCACCATTTTTAGCAGGGCAGCGTCACGTTAACCCTCTCTTTTGTTAGAGAAACACGGCAAATCCAAAATATGCCAACCTCATTTCTTCGGGGTTATTTGCACACCATCATTAAAAAAACTTCAAATTATTTAGCCGGCTATGTATTCAACAGTTTCTTACAATGGACCCCTAGACAGGGTACGAATTTCAGCATTCTGATTTATGTTTCTGAACCAAAATTTCACGCAGAACACGATGCGCACAACAAAAATTACCGGAATCAACTCCTTACGAAGATATTTAATGATTCTTGATGCGTCAATTCAAACCTTCCGCTCATGAAAACTCTATGCTCTACGTGATTCACATCGCGCGCTAAACGTTATCATGACAGTCTCTGCGATATAAAAATCTGACGACCTCAATCTTGACGCTTTGGCTCAGTTATAGTAAATTGCTTATATTTTGAACAACACATGGTGGGAAATGAACATTGCTCGATTGAGAGGCTTGCTGAAACTGTTCTAGTGCGCGATTTGACTCACGTAGAGGTTTGAGTTTCTTGTGCAGTTCAAATTCCTCGTAACCGCAGTGTGAAATAAAAACGTAAATATCTTCGTTAGGAGTTGGTTTCAGTAATTTTCGTTGTGCGAATCGTGTTCTACGTGAAATTCTGGTTAAGGAACATGTATCAGATTTCTTAAATTCGTACCTTGTCTAGTGGTCCATTGTCGGTTTCTCAAAGAGCAGGGGTTACGTCAAGCGTTTGATAATATTATTAAGGAGGGCCAGGGTTGCGTTACGAAGCGTTACAAGGGAGATCGATATGGATTTTCCATAAAACACCATCATTAAACAACAAAATAAGCAAACAAAACGTCTCCGGCCGGCGAACATGACGCGACGTTTATGTCAACGCCTGGATGCAATTATACGTGCTCTGTGGTCGTCCGTGTTGCATAAGCGAAAGATTGAAGGCGTTTTGAAGTTCGTTACCACGTGAATAGACGTGCACACGCTGCCGCTGTGGTGCCTTTGGAGATTCTATTTTCACTTACCATATATTCGTTTCGTGAAGTGCACCCTGTAAATTAGCAATATTTCAGATCGTCACAAAACTCTCGATGACAATATTATTGCACAAATTGTTCTCTAGAATTACTTCCAAACTTTATTTAGGATCATACTTTATTACGAAAATAATTTTCAAGCTTTCCCACGATACTTTTAACGGTACTTTATAATGGTCACACGTAAGATTTTGAAATTCTACTCCAGAACTTTATGGCAATTTAACTGTTGTCGACAACATTAAGATTTTTTTCTTATAAAATTTAACAGTTGTTTGAAAATGTTTAAAATTATTGTCAAATCTAGTGTAAGAAAGACCTCGCAATATATTATTATTTTATGAAATATTTTAGAGATATTTCCTGTTTTACATGGTATCTTACGAATTTGTTTACTTTCAGAAGGTCTGAGAGTCTGTTTAAACGAGGTATCTCTCCATCCTTTCATTTTGCAGTGTGATGTGCTTGAGGCTGACTCTCTTGTTTCTGTGCTTTGTTGGGCCGGTGGTTTCACGAAAACTTCTCTACATCCAAGTCATCACGAAAGACCTCAAATCTAACAGAATTCTCGAATGTGTACAGATGGACCCCACAGAAAACGAATCTCTAGACGCAGTTGTCAAGGTAAAAGACACATTAGTTATTAGACGGGGTGATTTAAAAGTCCAACACTGTCCCATTAACTTTTTTACTGGTTAAGCCATCAAGTTGCAACTCGAAGAGTGTCTCTGAGTCAAAGGTAACTACTTTGAATGTGAACCACCAAAAGGGGTGGAACACTGACCTAATCTCATTTTTTCAAACAGCAATCCCTACTTTGTGGTGTATCCTGAAAAAGAGCATGAAAAAGGAACTTTTTCAGCGCCAAGTTCAGGTTTCAATCTATCACCCTTTCATAATGGCGGCCGTTTAATGTTCAAAATACCTGAATGAAAGTAATGAAAGGATTTTTTTTACTTAGCCGAGTGAAAGTAATGAAAGGATTTTTTTATCTTCATATCTGAAGGAAGATGGAAAGTCGAATATGGATTTAATGTGGTATCTCAAAATATCCCGCTTTATCTTGGCCGGTGGTCTGAAAATGGCGAAAACCCGATATTCTTCCGGTTTCCGGTGGATTAGTTTCAAATTTGATATTCAAATGTTTTCTGGATCGTTGAACATGAATTTGATGCCAGTTTTACCTGCTCAATCTATTTTATATACTCGATCCTTTCTAAGATGGCCACTTTTAACACTATTTTTTCTATTTAATATCTATTGAAAGGAGGCCTGAAACTAGTTCTTATTTAAGGAACTATACAGGGTTATCCAGAAGTCTGGGACCCCCCCCTTATAACTTTTGAACAAAAAATGCTAGAGATTTGAAATTTGGGGAATGTTCCTAGGTCAAAGGGAACTACTTTTTGGCGTACCCAAAATTTTGGGGAGCGCCCCCCCTGAGGGGGGGCGGACCCTAACTTTTTTTTTTCAAATGGGAACCCCTATCTTGTGATACATCATTCGAAAGGGCTTAAAAAAAGAAAACTTTTGGCGCAAACCGATTGTCGATACCTCAATTTTTAACAAAATGGCGGCCAAAAAATGGCGGCTCATTCAAAAGTCTGGGCCTCCGCTCATAACTCATGAACAAAAAATGCTAGGGATTCGAAATTTGGGGAATATTCCTAGGTGAAAGGGAACTACTTTTTGGCGTACCCAAAATTTCGGGGGG